TCTTTCACTTAGCATAATATTTTTGAGATGTATCTATATGGTTGTCTGTATTCATATTTCTTTCCTCTTTTTTTGCCTAGTAGCTTTCCAGTTTTATTGCTTGTTTGGGCTGTTTCCAGTTTGAGGCTATTATAAATAATTAGAGGCCCTCAGCCTGGCCTGCAGGGATTGGGCCAAAACTGGCTCTCCAACATCCCCTGAGGGGTCCCAGATTGTGAGAGGGCAGTTCTCAGGTGATGCACCCTGGAATCAGGCTCCCTCCTCTCTGGTTCCGGGTGCATCACCCGAGAACCACAGCTGCCAAGTCACCACAGCTCAGCAGCTCCTGCATTGAGCATCTGCCCCCTGGTGGTCAATACGTGTCATAGCTACCGGTCAGATGGTCGGTCGGTTGGACGGTCGCTTAGGCTTTTATATATATAGATGCTGTTACAACCATATATGTACATGTCCAGAGAAATCTGGACATATATTTCATTTTTTTGGAGTAGATATCCAGAAATAGAATTTCAGGCTTGTATGGTAATGAATCTTTAACTTTATAAGGTAATGCCATACTGTTTGCCAAAGTGACTGTATTCCCACCAGCAAAGTCTGAGAGTTCCAGTTGTACCACATCCTTGTCTACACTTGGTGTTGTCAGTCATTTTTACTTTATCCATTCTAGTGTATAGTGATATCTCATTGTAATTTGAATTGACATTGCTCTGATGACCTGTAAAGGTGAATATCTTTCCATGTGCTTATGAAATTTTTAATCAAAGTATTAATCAAATAAAATGCTAAAATGCAGTTATTCGAAGCAAGATTTGCAAACAGAAAGACTTGAAATTTATCCTTTCATAAGCACAGGAGATACCAAACAAATTAAACAATTAGCCCTCAAATGGTATACAATATAAATACTGAAATTCTGTAATTACATTTTGGAATATCTCAACTTGCAGGATGACTCATTTTTTGAAGCACCTATTTTTAATTAGATAAATTTATGTTCAGTACTGAAATGAAATGAAATTTAGGAGGCCTATAATTATACAGAATCATAAGTAGAGACAACTTATTTGATGAGGTTTTTCTTATGAAATATATGTTGAAGAAAGGTACTCTGAATTAAGGCCAAAAGGGCAGCATCTGTGAAAATATTTGAGCTGAAATATTTACACATTTCAACATGCAAAAACTTAAAATTGTGAATTAGTTTGCTAGGCTGTCTTAACAAAATACCATAGACTGGGCAGCTTAAACAACAGAAATTTATTTATTTTCTTGAAGTTCTGGAAGTTGGAAGTTCAAGATCAAGGTATCAATGGGTTTAGTTTTTTCTGAGGCCTCTCTCCTTGGCTTGCAGATGGCAGCCTTCTCACCATCCTCACATGATCTTTTCTCTGTACTTGCACATCCTGAGTGTCTCTGTGTGTGTGTCTAATTTCTCTTCTTCTAAGGCCATCTATCAGGTTGGGGTAGAACCCACCATCACAGCCTCGTCTTAATAACTTCTTTAAAGACCCTATCACCAAACACAATCTCATTCTGAGGTGCTAGGTATTAGGACTTCAACATATGAATTTTAGGAAGATGTGGTTCAGCCTATAACACTCCTCCATTTAGCAGACCAGTTTCTGACATCGCTTTTACTTGACCACCAGCACTAGTGAGGGATATATCATGAGTCAGTGTGCTCCCACAGGAAGTAAATGCCCTCTGCCTGCAATCTGGAATCACCCTTGCACTGTGTGCTTTTCCACGTGTCATCATTGACCTGCCAGGCTTCAACATCTACTTGTTTAGACCAATGATATTTATCAGACCCTGTCACATTGACATATTTTTTAAAAAATAGTTTTATTTCTTTTGTTTATAAAAGTAATATGTGCTTATTGAAAAAGAAAAAAATCAGTGGTGAAATATAAAGAAGAAAATAAGAATCACCTCCTAAAACACACCACCAAAAATAAAAAATAAATAAAAATACCAAATAAAGAAAAAAACTAAAAACAAAACAATAATAATAATAATTGGCCCAGCCAGTGTAGCTCAGTGGTTGAGGGTCGATCCATGACCAGGAAATGATGGTTCAATTCCTGGTCAGGGCACATGCCTGGGTTGCAGGCTTCATCCCCAGTGTGTTACCTGCAAGAGACAGCCAATCAATGATTCTCTCTCATCATTGATGTTTCTATCTCTCTCTCCCTCCCCCCTTCCTCTCTGAAATCAATAAAAATATTTTTAAAATAATAATAAAATAAATAAAATAAAACACACCACCCAGGAATAGCCACTTGTATGTCTAGCAAAATGTTTTCTCTATGCAAATACTTGTATGCTTTTTAATATTAAAAATTAGAAATCATAACATATACAGTTTTTCAGCTTTATTTTTTTTCTACTTTATATATTATGGTGAATGAGACATTAGGCTCTTGTCCAAGTGAAGCTGAAGTTTTGCCCAGTTTCTTCTTGAACAAAGGGATTTGTGGTAGAAAATAGGGACTGGAATAACCAGGCTGCACTCCCCAAACACACAATCACCACCACTACAACTATATCACTGCAGGATCAAATCTTGCCCACCTACCTCTTAAGACTTCGGTGGAGCAAAGAAGGAGATGAAGGAAAAATAAAGATGAAGATGAATGAAATGAAATAAAGGCTATAAAAAAGTACAATAGGAATAACTCGTTGCCACTTCTCCTTACTTCAAAAAAGTTTAACAACAGGTACAGCATAGGCACTGCCCAATCTAATGGCAACTATAAACTGCTGTCCCACCTGTATGGCTGCCATCTGGCTCAGTATCAGCCTTGTCCTTACCCCTCATCCTCCAGAGTGGACACCTTTTCCTGGAAGTAGTGAGGAAAAAATGTATTTTATTTTCTGCTGGGTTTCCTGAGAAGGCTAATGTTGGCAGCTACCCTTTCACGACTAGAGACCAGCCTATCTGAAAAAGGAGCCACCATAAAGAAAAGCAGAGAAGACACAAGACATGTAAACCAATCCTTTGACAACATTCGAGCACCTGGATCCAGCCAGACTTGAGGTCAGTAAGGCCTAGACTTTTCAGTTATATGAGCCAATCAATATTCCTTTTCTGGCTAAGAAGTAAGCTCAATTTCTGATATTAAAACTAAAGAATCTTATCGCACCCATATATTCTCCCTTTTAAAGTTCCAATGACAAAGAAGCCAGTATATGCCTTACATAGTAACAGAGAAAGGTTTGTATCTAAGAATTGAGAATAAACTTGAGGAATGCAAGTGAAGTTCATACCAATTTCCTAGGCACCAACTCCTGAAATTATCAGCCCTTGTACCCATATTCACAGCCTGCAATTTTTAGAAAAGCATGAATAGCAGCAGAAGGAGGAATTGGCCACAGGATGCATGGAGAGACACCAGTATACTTAGTACCTTACCTCTCCACTAAAAAAGATTTAGTACTAGTTGCAGTGAAGTTTCATATCCCTAAAATTCATTACATCTATTAAAAAAAGCACCATATTTTAATGAGCTATTAAAACAGTTAAAAATAAAGCCCATTTGGTATCCAATATCCTTTAGATGATCATATTTTTTCTTGTATATGTGAAGCAACAAAATTTGGTTAACTGCAATACATCTTGTAACTGATGCAGATGTCCACATTCTCCTTCACCCACTAAAATAATAAGCTACAATTTCTCTAGCCATATAATTTATAAATTACATAGACATATAACATGAAATACATTCTCTTTGTTTCTCCTCTTCGTCTTTCTCAACTGGTCTTTAATTTTAACAGTTTTTTATGAACTCTCCACAAACATTGAATGGCATGGGCATAAGAATAATGTAAAGAGAGGGTATTAACATTTATTTGGCACATGTTATGTGCCTATTACATCACATGTTATTTTATTTTATTTAATCCTGACCCTAACCTTTAAAGCAGATGTGATTGCCCCCGTTTTTCTAATAGGAAAGCCTTTTCCAAGTTTAAACAGCTATAAAATAGCTATAGTAGACACTGTTAATTGCTCCTTCATAATTATTTTTCTTCTTCTTTGCTTGTTGAGTATGCTTCTCACTAAAGAAGTTGAAAACACTTAACACACTTTATCCCAGAGTTCTCTGCTGCTAGAGCATGAGCATATGACCCAGTCTAACCAATGGGTCCTGAGGGAAAGTCTATTAGATTTTTGGGAAAGTTTCCTCCCTGATTAAAAAATAAAATAAGAAGGGCCTTCTTTCCCCCTACGTTTTGTTGTTGGATGAAGTCTTATAATGATGTCATATCTGGAGCTGCAGCAGCCTTTTTGAGGGTACAAACCTAAAGATGAAGTTAAATACTCAAAAACTCTAAAGATGATGAAAAAGAAAAGTGGTCTTTAATGATATCTTTGAACTTCTCATTTAACTAACCCTGGAAGTCCTCTCCCTCAAGACTTAGAACAGTGTCTGGTGAATATTAGACACTTAACAAACATCTATTGAATGAATAAATGAATAATTTTAACTTTCCAAATTTGTCATCATAGAAAATGAGAAAAGTATCTATCAAAGCTATATGACCTAGCAATTCCACTCCTAGGTATGTTACAAGAGAGATGAGTGTTATGTGTCCACCATAGACATGTGGAAACATTTTTATAGTAGCTCCAAACTGGAAACAACTCAAATGTCCATAAACTGGATAATGAATAAATAAATGTCAGATATTCACATATTGCAATACTACATCTCTTATATAAAAGGCCCATGGCTGTCATGACCAAACAAGTAGTGGCTCTCACGGCAGGCGGGATGGGGCATGAGCTACTAGCGGCGGAGAGCTATGAGTGGCAGAGAGCTACAAGCAGCGGAGGGCTATGAGCAGCTGAGGGCGGGGCAGTGAGCTATGAGCAGTGATGGGCGGGGCAGCCAGCTGAGGCAAGTGGAAGGGAGCTACTTGTGCACGATTTCATGCACTCTGGGCCTCTAGCAACAATATAAAAGGACAGACTATTAATATTCACATTAGCAGTTGAGGTCTATCCCAATGGGTCTTTTTCTGTAGACCTACATCGTTGGAAACACCTCAGAATAAATAGGTAGCTTCCTTTACTCACAGAACTATGTGTTAAATCTGTGGGAAGCAACTACAAGACAGCTGCTAAAACTGTGAAAGACCTAATAATCTAATGTTTTTAATCTTAGGTATTTATGTATCCTGAAGATCTGTCCTTTTCTAGGGAGTGATAGCTTAGGAATGAAGATAATTTGAACTTACTCATGTTTAGAGGGTGTCTGAAACTTAAAAACTGGGCAGATCCATCTACTCAGACCCTAACCATGGCCCTGAAGTAAATTGCTTAAAGAAATTGGGTCCCAATGATTATAGGAGGAGAGTTTTTGAAGTATGTCCATATTCAAGTGTAGATCAAAGAAGCTCAACTAAAAGAATTGTGGACTGACTGAAATGACAACTGGATTGGGCAAAAAGGGGATTAAGACTCAAACTCGGGAGGAACTAAGGCAGTGGAAGGACTCAGAGCATGTGATATTTCTTAAATAAAAATTTATTAACTTGCCGAAACCGGTTTGGCTCGGTGGATAGAGCGTCAGCCCGCGGACTGAAAGGTCCCGGGTTCGATTCCGGTCAAGGGCATGTACCTGGGTTGCGGGCACATCCCCAGTAGGAGATGTGCAGGAGGAAGCTGATCAATGCTTCTCTCTCATCGATGTTTCTAACTCTCTATCTCTCTCCCTTCCTCTCTGTAAAAAATCAATAAAATATATTTTTTTAAAAAAATTTATTAACTTTAAATAATTGTGCCTATGTTACAAATAATAAAAACCCTTTATACTTAAAAAAATATATTCACATTAGCATAGACAAATCTCACAGACATAATATTCAGCAAAAAACAACATGCACACAAACTACATACCATTTGATTTCGTTAAAGTTCAAGAACAGGAAAAACGAATCCATGGTGATACAAGTCAGTGGTGGCCTTTGTGACAGGGGGCTGGTTATTGAGGGGATAGGGCCTGAGGGACTCTCCTGGAGTTATGTGACTCAGAAATACTCTCCTGGAGTGTGGATTTTTCTATCAAAAGTGCCTAAATAGAGCAGAAAAGACTTTATGTACTAGTATAAGGATAGTCATTGCAGAATTTAAATTAGTGAAAAACTGGAAACAACCTAATTATTCAACAGCATATAATTAAGCACATTATAATACACATATTCAATAGAATATTATGCAGCCATTAAAAAGTATGCTCACAAAAGCTGATGATATAATGTTCAATGAGGTAAAATGGAATTAAAATTGCAAATACTTTAAGAATACAACCATGAAAAAAAAATTTAAGCCTGTAGAAAGAAAAAGCCTGAGAGAGTTTGTATGTAAAGACAATTATCAGTGTCTGCTTCTGAAGAATGTGATTCAGCAAGTGGTTGTAGGAGTTGGGATGTGTGTGGGAGTGGGGAGCAGGGAAGTGGGCCAGTAGGAAGCAGACAGGGACTTTCATTTTTTGTTTTATGAACTCTGTATTTGACTTTTTTTTTTTACAATGAATATGCATAATTTTATGATAAAAATTTTAATTCATTAAAAACAACTGGAAGGAAATTTATAAAATGTTAACAATGCTTGTCTTTGGATAATGGGATTTGGGAGATTTTTTAAATGATTTCTTTCACTTTTCTATAGTTTCAGATTCCTATGATGAGTACATGTCTTTAAAAATTATACATATATATATATATATATATATATATATATATATATATATATAGTTTGTTTGTTAATCCTCACCCGAGGATATTTTTCCATTGATTTTTAGAGAGAGTAGAAGGGAGAGGGAGAGACAGAGAGAAACATTGATGTGAGAGAGACACATTAATAGGTTGCTTCCTGCACCCACCTGACCAAGGTACATGCCCTTGACTAGAATTGAACCCGGGACCCTTCAGTCTGCGGGCCAACACTCTATCCACTGAGCCAAACTGGCTAGGGCTTAATATATTTCTATTGATTTCAGAGAGGAAGGGAGAGGGAGAGAGAAATAGAAACATCAATGATGAGAGAGAATCATTGATCAGCTGCTTCCTGCACCCCCTACTGAGGATCAAGTCTGCAACTCAGGCAAGTGCCCTGACTGGGTATTGAACCGTGCCCTCCTGGTTCAAAGGTCGATGCTCAACCACTCAGCCATGATGGCCAGGCAGCACATGTTTTGTTTTTTTGTATATTTTTTTATTGTTGATAGTATTACAGATATGTCCCCCCATTTACCCTCTTCTTCCAAGCCTCTACCCCCTCCCCCAGGTCTTCACTACCCTATTCCCCTTGTCCATGGGCTATGCATATAAGTATATAAATTCTTTGGTTTATCTTTTCTCATCCCCACAACCTCACATCGAGGTTTGTCAGTCTGTTCCATGCCCTCATGTCTTTATATCTGAAAAAAACTTACTTCAATGAGATGATACATTTGAAAGCACACTGTAACCCGTGAAGTGCTTCCGTTATAAAAGTGGTTGTGTTACTGTTGTGAAACAGTGGATGTTGGCAATGCCATTTGTCAGGGCAGAGGGCAGGTCCTCTATCCAGCCACCCAAGGGCTCAAGTTTTGCCTTGGCTGCCACCTTTGGAAGGTAGGAGGGAAGCTAAGCAAACACCACCTACACACTTAGAACAAGTGTAAATGCTTGAGAGTTTTTCTGGTAAACCCGCAGATGTTAGATTAGAAAAGTATTTCTTGTGGTTGTGCTTCTCAGCCCAGGCTACACATTAGAATCACCTGGGGAAGTTTCTTATACTCTCCCATCCCCAGAGATCAGAATTCAATTGCTTGGGACGAGGCCCAGGCAGGAGTATTTTTAAGACATTTCCCAGTTAATGGTAATAACCAGAGTGTTGAGTGATGCCTTTGAGTGATTCTGTGGATGAGTTCTCTATGTCATGTGCAGGCAAAAGTTCCAAAACTCCTCTTGAAAGTTTAACTCTCTAACCAAAAATCAGGTAAAACACTGTTTTCCTCAAACCAAACTGAGTTTTTGGTGTGGTGTTTTTAAGTAAGAATTTTATATATATATATCTTTTTATTGATTTTAGAAAGAGATAGAAACATCAATGATGAGAATCACTGTTTGGCTGCATCCTGCATGCCCCCTACTGGGGATCAAGCCCACAACTCAGGCATGTTGCCCTGGCCAAAATCGAACCGTGACTCCTGGTTCATGGGTCAATACTGAACCACTGAGCCACACTGGCTGGGCTTAAGTAAGAATTTTAATCACCACTCCTATATTTATAGTTTACACAGTGTACTCATGAAGATAATCTCATTTGATGATCTCATTGAACTGTATGTACACTGCTAAGAGGTGTAACCACCTAGACACTTCTGGGAGGTAAGTAGGCAGAAATCATTATTTACATTTTTCCCAGGAGAGAATTGAGAGGGAAGAGTTCATTAGTTTCCCAAGACCAAATAACAGCAAACTTGAACTCGAGTACTCCATTCTTCAACTATAAAGATCTCATTATGAGAATTGGCTTATATCTTTGAGTCACCAATGATACTGCACTAGGACAAAAGATTTAAAAAATTATCTTGCCTGCCTTTTTTCCCACTGTACCTTCAGAACCTAGAAAGCAAAGTGAACATATTTTGTGTCTGTATTATGCATGAAATTGTGCCACCCTATAATACTGCCAAGGACAGGCCTGGACACATAAGTAGATATTTAATGAAAGAATGAATGACTATATCCTCCAAGATAACATTACCCCCATTTGTCTAAGTCCTTTCAGGCTGCTATAATAAAATACTGCAGCCTGAATGGCTTATAAACAACAGGCACTTATTTCTCACAGTTCTGGAGGATGGGAAGTTCAAGATCAAGGCGCCTACAAATTCAATGTCTGCCAAAGGCCCACTTTCTGGTTCATAGACAAAAGTCTACTCCGTGTAACCTCACAGGACAGAAGGGATGATGATCTCTCTGGGATCTCATTTATAAGGGCACTAATCCCATTCATGAGGTCTCCACCCTTGACCCCTAATCACCCCCAAAAGCCCCACTTCCTAATACCATCACATTAATGGTTAGGATTTAACATATGAATTTGGGGGTAGGGGAGAGAAACAAAAATTCAGTCTATAGCACCATTTTACAGAAGAGGTAACTGAGACTCCAAGGAGAAAATACATGCCCAAGGCAACAGAACTCGTAAGAGACAAAACTGGAAGGAAAAACAACTCAGAACAGCCAACCTTGTACTCCTACCCACTATACTAAACTACCAACTGGTTGTAGTTTTTAAAGACCAAGCCCTAAGGATGACAGCCTCAGAGATAGATAATGTATGAGAAAACCTTCTCTAGATATGGCACACAGATAGTATAATAGGAGGGATATTGAAGAGGAGTTGGCAGCAGTGATTTGCTATTATAGGGTTCTATTGAAACAATTCATTTTACTTAAGATTTATACTTCCAAAATCCTTAGTCTGACTAATGACAACCTTCTGAAATGATTATAAAAAAGCAAAATCATTTTGCTTCCTGAAGAATTCATATAATATAGAATATGACAGATTACCATAGTCATATACTTAGATCCAAAATTACTAGATACAAATAAAGGAGAGCTGGAGAGACGAGATCATACATGCTTTTAATCAGGAAAGAAAAAGATCTCTCTAATCAATGTCTTGCAAAAACCATTAACCAAAGTCCTAAACTGAAGCTCAAATAATTGAAAAATGAAAATGATCCATCTACTCATGACAGGGAGATTGTAGTCCTATAAAAATGTTGAATGCACATATGGATGAAGCGGGTTGACATTGCCATTTGGTAATTGGCTAAATAACAGTCATAAACAAATGGAAGAAATAACTAAGTTGAGAGCAGAAGTCAGAATTTTCCCCATCAGTTTCAAGAGACTATGACACATTCATCCAGAATTTTGAAGCTTCAATCATTAGTTATGTGGATTAGAACTGACAATGGTGAAAGTCATTACAATTCATCCATTCATTGTCTGTCTGTCCATCTATCCATCCACTGGGTTTAACCACATAAAAATGCCATTATTTGGTTACTTTTGACTTAGACGAAGGGCAGCTTTATATACTTCAATGTAAAAT